TGTGTTGATCATCTAATCATATTTGTTCCACATATGATATTTAATCAGGGATCCTTTAGAAATAGTAACAAACAACATAAAGAGTCTCATGAAACAATCACATATTCATTAACCAATAATGAGTTATCTATTTCAAGGAACAATGTCGGATAAATATGTAAACATAGTATGTGATATAATCATCTCTATGATTGCCTCTAGGGCATATCACTAACAGTTTCTCTGTCAGTAGAGTTTTTTGCGGAGCAATGACTCGCGGTCTGAAGTTTTCCAGCAGGTTGAAACCAGTCATGCACTACCCTGTTTTCACAACAAGTGAAAACAACCAAGGTTAGCCTGCAAAGGAAATGATTATACAGAGGTAAATATAAAGTATTAGTTCAAGCAATCTCTATTATGAATCTTCCCCGGCAACGGCGCCAGAAATGCTTATTGGTATTTCTTAACGACATTACTACAAATATAATTCCCAGCAATGGCGCAGAAATACTTCTGGTATATTATGGTTACAGAGTTCATCCGCAAGCGCACGGATATACCATTGTAGCATTTCACCCGAGAGTATTCCAAGGGTATCGTATTTATTTTATCCTATGGGAAGATCATGTAGAGAGAACTCAACTAATAATTTATATATTACTTGTAATAATCATATTCTAAGCAGGGGTTAAGATAATCCAAAGGTAGAGTGACACACAAGCATTAATAACTCAATTATCATAATAAATTATCTAAGCTAGGTGGAAAGAAAAGAGAAAGAAAATCTATTCCTATACTTCTAATATACATAAAGAAAATCTATTCCTATACTTCTAATATACATAAAGAAAATCTATTCCTATACTTCTAATATACATAGTATACATACATTCTAGTTAACTGATATACTAACTAATACCGTCTATCCGATGCCCTCCTGGTACTTCGAGAAGCAACCCCTGACTGCTGAGTTTCTTACGACAGCCCGTCATGACTATACAACCGGGGCTAAATTAATACGGAGGAATACCCTCCCCAGGAAATTAACTTAGGATTATATACCGGCGCAGAGGAATACCCGCAATGAGCTGTCACCATCAGCGGCCCACCTCTCATCCGCAATATATAACCCCAAATAATGATATCCCGTAATCTAGACACCACGCCTAAACTACCAGATACTACTCTAATATCATGGTCATGACATAGAGTAATTGCATAAGCAAACATTATACCCTCCAACTAAGCATCTCGGTCATGACATAAGCATCTCCCAGATAAGCTAACCGTATATTCAGTATAACATGAACATAATGTAAAGTAGGTACTCATATACTCGGAAAGTATTTCAATACCATAAATGTATATAGAAGAGTATTCTAATAAAAGTACAAAGCTTACAAAAGAGAAGAGGAAAGCTGCTAAAGCCATATCCGAACTCTTCCGAAGGCTTCCGGACTCCTGACTCCTACTCTATTTCTATTCCACCAGCTAGATACTACGAAACTAAACTTGAGAGAAATGAGAGAGAGCTATTACTTGAGGTGTGTGTGTGAAGTGAGAAGAGGAGCTCCTTTTATAGGCAGGTAATGACGGTTGGAATGGTCGGTAATACCCTCCAACTGCCATTGGGGATCAATCCCAGCCGTCCATCCAAACCCTGCATCCATCGGCGCCATAGGAGGTTTGGCCGAACCCCCTGGTTGGGCCGGCCCAACAAGCCCACAATTTGGTTGGTTGTCTCCTCCGCTGCTTCACTTTGTAGACTTGCGAATTTTGACCTGATTCATCGTGTCAAGTCTGCGTTCTTGGCCTATTCATGCACAAGTCTGGTTCTCGACATCGTCCGATTGATTTATCGTCTGAGTTGATGTCGGTTCTTCTCCACTTTATTATCATTCTCTGCAAAAGGTTAGTATACCTAATACTAGTGAAATATTATTATTCTAACAGATATATGCATTGCAAGCATCACTAGTTCTCCTCTATTTTGGTAGTATTGACGGTCGAAACTGATCGATAACGACCGTCAACACCACATCATCACCCTCCCCTCTCTTTCCCTTCCTCCTCTCTCTCTCTCACTTTTCCTCTCTCTGGGCTAGCGACAGGGGACGCGGGCCGGCGGCGGCCGCGCGAGTGCGTGGCGGCCGGCGGAGCGGAGCGGAGGTGGCGTGCGAGCCCACGGCGGCTGGCTAAGTCGAGCGGTGGCGGGCGAGCGCGTGGCGAAGTGCAGAGCGGACCGGAGGCACGGAGCGGCGGTGGCGGCAGGACGACGAGCGCGCAGCGGCCGGCGGATGGGGAGCGGCAGCCAGTAGGCGGCGGTGGCGGAGGCGGTGGAGGTATGCTGTTCCAGTAGTTCTTCTCCTCCTCGGTCTACTGGAACTCTCTGTCGGCTTCCGCATCTCTTCCCGCCGGCCTCTGGATCTGGTTCAAGGAGCCGTCGAGGAGTAGGCCCGTGAACCCCGCTCCGGCGGAGAAGCCCACGTCGGCGGCGTCGACGTCGCCCCAGTGCTGCTCCTTGCACGCCTCGTCGTACGCCTGCATAGGCTGCATGGCGGCGCGCGGCCGCCGCGGTGGCGCCGTGCGCCTCCAGCACGGTGGCGAGTGCCGCACTGTCCGAGAAGCTCAGCGTGGACGTCGGCGAGTCAAGGCCATGAGCCGCTGCCGCCGCCACGGGGGGAGCCGGGAGGCCGCGAGCGCCTACTTCCTGCTCCGCTCTTTCTCTATCATAGCTTCATGGTTTCTTCCCTCTCTCCTTGGAGTTATGATTCATTAGCTGTTTAAGCATGCTAATTAATCTTGACTTGCCGATGCAATTGGATGTGCAGCTAGGAGGAGGCGGCACCAGATCTTTCTCGCCATACACGCAGCTCACCTTCTGCTCGAGTCTTCACTTCCAGAAGGTGGCAACGATAGCGGCGGCCTTCCACAAGCCTCCCCTGGCCGAGCTGTCCCTTCTGCTCTCTCCGGCGAGGAGCAAGCATGCAAGAATGTGCCCGGTCGCCGACAACGCGGCGCCCGTGGCGGCAGCACAGGAAGCAACAAACATGCCTACGCCTCCGCCGCCCGCCACGTCGAGCGCCAACGGCAGCCTGCCCCAGGAGCCGCCTCGCCACTGCTCTTCTCCCCTGCTGGTCGCTGGTCGCTGGCCGCCGGACCTCCTCCTCTCCCACACCAAGTCGGCGCCGCATCGCCTGTCAACGGCCACCAGACGCGAGGAGAAAAGTGAGAGAGAAAGGGAGAGAAGAAGGGAAAGAGATTGTCCTACGTGGCATCATGACATGTAGGACCCACGTGGGTCCCACGCTGACTCAGCCGCCACGTAAGACAAATCCGGCGTCAATACTGCCCTGGGACTTCGGGTGACCGGTTTTATATAGTTAAGGGACCTCGTATATCTGGTTTTGCGGTTCGAGGACGTTTTTTATCTCGCTAACAAGTTGAAAGACCTTCGATGTACTTTTTCCCCTATATTTTATGGACCTTCTTCTTTTGGGCCACACACTAATAATGGGCCTTGCTGGCCGTAAGCAAAAGACCTTTTGCATCAAACAGGATAAGAACAATTAGAAAACGTATGATCCCGCCCTAGACACTGGCCACAAAAGATTTGCTCCTTTTTTTTTTCTCAATCTAGGGATTTTGAACTTTCCTATTCTCTGAACGAACAGGAAGAACTTATAGCATATGAAACACACATTACTACAGAAAGGGTAAAAGGTGCCGGTTTAGAAACCCTAATAGGTGCCGGTTTTCCGAACCGGCACAAAGGAGGCGGCACTGATGATACTTGTCATCAGTGCTGGTTCTAGAACCGGCACCTTTATGGTCTTAATAGGTGCCGGTTCTAAGCCAAATTGCCACGTGGTTGTCAAATAGGTGCCGGTTTTGACCTCAAAACCGGTACCTATATGGTCCTAATAGGTGCCGGTTCTAAGCCAAATTACCATGTGGCTGTTAAAATAGGTGCCAATTTTTAATTTAAAACCGGCACCTTCATGGTCCTAATAGGTGCCGGTTTAAGCCTAAAAACCGGCACCTATTTGTTGGGTCAAAAAAAAAATAAAAATTGCAGTAAATTCGTCCATACAACCCCAATTCCATATAAACCCAAATTCATCCCTATAGCCCCATATCCATATAGCACATTCATTCATATTCACATTCATCACAACAAATAAAAACCTATAAGCCATTCATCACAATATATAAAAACCTACAAGCCTAAGTCAAAATTCGTAAGTCCAAAAATTCCTATCTTTAAATCCTAAACATTTGCATATATAACCTAACTCAAAATATGACTAGTTTAAAATTCCTATGTCAAAAGATTGTTAGTCTAAAATTTTTAAGTCCAAAAATTCCTAAGTCTAAATTGTGAACATTAATTTGCACATGTATCCTTAGGTCAGAAATTCACAAGTCTAAAATCAGTCCAGAAAATTGTAAGTGTAAACTCTAGACATTTGCATATAATTCACATCCATATCCTCGAGTTATGTGCGTATTGTAGCTTTTTGGATACTACACACTACTGTGCCTATCATTTGAAGAAATGGATGAATAAAATCAAGACTATTTTTCCAAACAAGCACTAAACGCCCATAGCATATTTCATAGGCCATACCACATCAAGGCAGGGATTACTTGAAAAAAATAGGACCATGTTCCCAGTTCATAGGGAGAAAAAAATACATTGTCAGGTGGTTAATGAAAAGTGGAAATAAAACAATTGTATATAGTGTTGCTGTGATCCACCAGAACAATAAGAATAATTGGCTTCAGGCAACTATGTTCCTTGACATCTGAAATCAGGAGAAAAAAAAAACACCTCCTCATTAACAACAAGGAAATATTCTGCGTGCAACTTGTAATGCACAAGCACATCAATTCTTTGGGGGAAATTAGATCACAACTTACAGTGTGTGAAAATTAACATGACAAACATTTGCTTCAAGAAAAGCAAAATGGCTCTGTACCACTAAGATACAAATGATCTTACAACTAAACCACGATAATACAACAAAGCTAGGATCTCATTAATTCCCCATACATAATTACATATGTAGTAAGCAGTGCAAAACACAAACGAGTCGTGTCCACAGTTGGGAGCAAATTTGCTCCTCTACAACTGGAGCATATGAACCTAATGCCAGGAATCAGCAACACGACACCCCAATAGAAAACCAACGGTGAAAAATTTTGCCCCCATTCTTGCATCAGAAAGCTACTAGAAACAACCGCCCAGTTAACCACAGAACACTAAACTTCACACAGAATGCAGAAAGGAGCTTCCTTTCCTGTTGTCCCAGCATCACCAGTCGCCTACGGCGAACCCCAAATCGCGGAAAGAAGCAAATTTTGCGCAGGGAAGGCAAAAGGAAGGCGTACCAGAGATGCAGCATGGGGCAGAGAATGCATCAAAAGATGACATCCATGGACTGAAGAAACCGCTCCTCTTCTATCTCCAAGATCCACATCCACCCAGTCGGAAGGGGACAGATCACAAGGTCAGGTCTGCACCAGCTAGCTGTCCAGCTTTTGGTCTCTTGCTGCCATTAGTATAAGATTTGTTTATACATAAATCACACTATATTTGCATTCATTAACTAGAAAATATAGCACTACACACACAATTAACAAAGGCCATAATCCTGAATTTTTCATGTAAGTTTTAGAGTGAAATAATTTTCACAATGTGTTCCCATTCTACATGTGTGTGCTTACTCTTGTTTCTTTTTTTTTCTCGATGATGCTTTCTGTTGTGCCTTTTGGTTAGAGCATTGGACAGTCGGTCCAATCAACAGTTATGCTAAAGAAAGAGAATACAGTAAACTAGTGGATATTTACTAGAGGTTGCACTTCTCCGGTTAATATTTTGTTCTTAGACTCTTCATTCATTTTTAGAGACATAAGGCAGTTCTGCCATGTAATCAAACAAATAGGCGTTGGGGCGAAGAAATCACATGCTTTCTTGGAGTGCGCCAACGGCGAAAGAGACCTCTGGAAGAGGAGACTCGGGTCGCGGTGGAGACGAACAGGATGATCTTCTTAGCTCACGGGCGTTGCTGTTGGTGGAAAAGTTGAGAGGAGCAAATCAGATTGGATAGGGAGAAGTAGAAGGTAACGGATAAGAACAAGACAAGCACATACTTACCACCCATTCTCTGTGACCTTGAAGTGCATCCTGCTCCAAACTTCTGACAACAACTGTAAGATCAGTACCGAGTTTTGCAGGAGATGTGATGTTTGGATCAATCCATCCTTTGAATACATACCCAAACCCAGCAGGCCGCTTCTTGTCCATTGATCGTCTACCGGTTAACATCTCGAGTAACACTACTCCGAAGCTTTCCTTGCATAACCAGATTACAATTTGAGCAAAAAAAATCCAGCATTTCGATATCACAGCACTACATCAGTCTATAGCACAAAGGAACGGACATCCAAATTTTAAGGTTATATATAATTAGTTACAACCAATACAATTAAGGGAATATGGAACACCTATCTACATAGGGGAAGTATGTTGTACTGAACTACTAATTGCTGATGTTTATGATTCATTCAAGCATACCTCTCATCAGAAGTTGATCCTTGTTGAACTGAAAAAATGTATAAGCAGTGACTTCTACTGCTGGCCAGGTTCATTTCTATGTACATTAAGAATGATAAAAATGTTGATATTTACAGATGTTCCAGAAGTAAAATTGTAAAGAGAGGATACGTGTTTCTCCAACAGCTCTGTTGGCAATTCCTTCCTGTAATTTAAAGAAATAAGCTAAATTGGCATCTAATCACGGAGAGGCATTCCAAGAAAAACACAAGGAAAAACACAAGAAATAGCTAAATTGGTATCTCATCATTCCGAAGCAGCGGCGGCAGCGGCAAGGGCCGGGAGGGGACGTACATTCCCACCGCCCATCTGGGGGACGAGCGCGCTGGAATCCGAGTAGGATGGCCTCCGCTGCCAAAAAAGGAAAAATGAAGGCTCCGTCAAGCAGCCAACCATGGAGATCGATCCATCGATCCACTTCTGGAATGCAGCACACAGAGAGAGAGAGAGAGAGAGAGAGGATGAGCGAGGGAATGGGCACGGACGCCATGGGAGGGCTGGTAAGGCAGTAGGAGATGGCCGGCAGCTGGTCCTTCCGGCGGCGGTGCGGGACGGAGGCGGAGATGAGGACGGCGGCGGCGCGAGGCGGAGGCGGGGACGGCGGCGCGGAGCGGTGGCGGTGAGAGAGGGAGAAGGAGAGGGAGGAGAGGGCGTGAGCGGCGGCGGCTAGGGTTGGGGGAGGCGCTCGCAGACGCCGACGCGACGGCGGCGGCGCGAGTGGAAGGCGGAAGCGGCGCCGCGAGCGGGCGACGGCGGCGGAGGCGGCGGGGTGAGCGGGCGACGGCGGCGGAGGCGGCGCAAGGCGGCGGGGCGAGCGGGCGGCGGCGGGAGGGGCGGGGTTAGTGTCCTCTGTTTTGCAATAAAGCCCATAGAATTTGAAGTTTTACAGCCCGGTCCTAACCAGGTGTTTTATCCTTCTTCGCATGAAATATACAGATTAAAAAAGGGCCTGAACGTATAAAATCAGCTAATAGGGACTGTTAGTGAGGGACTGCGATCGAATTACGTGCAAACAGGAGGATTTTTTCGCAAAATTGCACGGCGCGCGTACTGTACCACTCCAACGTGGCATTGTCCAGCGGCTGCAGAGTGCGCCCCTTTTACTGGAACAAAAGTGCCGGTTCTACACCAAAAATCGGCACCTTTGTCTTATCATTTAAAAAACCGGCACCTATACGTAGTACCCACCAATGACTAATGTGGAAGAGAGAATATTAAAGGTGCCGGTTTTGGGTTGAGAACCGACACCCTTCTCTTGTCATACCAAGAACCGGCATCTTTGTGTAGGGCCCACCGCCGAACATGAAAAGCACTATTAAAATAAAGGTGCTGGTTTTAAGACAAAGGTGCCGGTTCTCAACCCAAAACCGACACCTATGTGTGGGGCCCGCTAACGGCTAGTGTGGGAGGGAGAAGATTAAAGGTGCCGGTTTTGAGTCTAGAACCGGCACCTTTCTCTGACACAGGTTTTAGGTGCCGGTTTTTAAATATGTGGCGCGTGAAGGTGGGTGCACAGGCGGGGAAGGTATTATAGGTGCCGGTTTTTTTGTGCCGGCACCTATAATGACGACACCTATTTGTGTTTTTTTTAGTAGTGACAGAAGTAAGATTTGGCACATCAAAACGGCAACGATCTTTCACAGACACGTACTCTACCAGGGATGGAAGCTTTGGGACTGGCATCTGTCAATTTTTTCATGAAGTATCTAAAACGCTCAACTAACTGAAACCATGGGAGGGTTAACATGGCCTGATTGTTTAGTACTCACAGCATCGGCGAAAGAAAACCCAGGACGAAGCAAAGAATTCTGAGGCTGATACTTTCTAGGTTTCGAAGTGACAAGAGTCCACTCATTGTTGTTCTCAATAAGTAACCTACTGAGTATATTTCTTATACCAATCCAGAACCCTCCAATTATGGAAGAACAATTTAAATTGTTTGCATGAATAAGATCTCAAAAGATAAATACGCAAGCAAATATTCTTATTAACCACTATAAAACTGAAGCACTTATGTTGAAGAAGACGAACATGAAAACCATTTAGATCACCAACCCCCCCCCCCCCTAAACAGAAGCATTTAGATCACCAACCCCCCCCCCCCTAAACAGAAGCAAAGATCCAAGGCTACGGATTGCTTCGTCAACTGAAAGTTGAACTGGGAGAAACAAACCACCATCTTGGATGAATTTTGGAAAGAAAAACTTGGAGAGAAATGCACCGTGTACGAGAAAACCTCCTATGCGAATGAAGACTCCTTGGAGAAATCCATTCTGACTGCATAGGAGAGATCTGTCATCGTTGAGAAGGGACCATGCCGGCAGGATCACCGAAGTCGCCACTAGATCGCCCTCACAGTCACCTCTCCACACATTTCTCCGATAATAAACTGGTTTGGATTAATTATGGTTATTCGTTTTTGAACATGTTATGACAAACTTTGACCTTCTTCCTTTTAACATTACATCTTCTCTTGAGCCTAACTCTTCCCAGCCCATTTGAACTTTCCTCATCGCTTCATGTAAATAAGTTAACTGGATATAATATATTACCAATGTATTAATTTATATGTAGACTCCAACCTATCTAAACTCTACGTGGAACTAATCAGGTCTCACAGCATGGGCCAAAATGCCAAATGGTCCTGTATTAGCAGGCCACCATCAGCAGGCAAAGACATCCCAATCAAGGCATTTCATTTCATTTAGAGTTCAAATATATTAGGCAAAAATAATATTCACATGAGTGTTGCTGCGGTTTGAAAATCCTGTAATATATAATGAATCTCAGGGGTTCTTCTATAAAAGTTTTTTTTTTTGCGTGGACTTCTATAAAAGAATTTGATACTAATAACAACTTGGATCTTCTCCCCCAAGTTGATCTTGACTTTCTCTAGGCAAATCTACCACTAACCCAAAGTAGGAAAATATTAAAGATAGTTAATGACATTGAGTTTTTTTACCAAAAAGAAAATAAACGCTTTCCATAAGCAACTATATACTTTGAAAAGCCAGCCATGAAAGGAGACTACCACCTGTCTTCGGTGGTATCATATTACCTTACCATACATAGGCTATGGTGTTACCCACAATAATACGTTTGAAATTTGGTGGATGGAACACGAATTTGCGTCACTCAAATGGCATTTGTCACTTAAAGCGGACGATTCACGTGTATACAATCACCTAAACAATATTTATTATTTTTGGTGAAGTTCACACCTCTATAGACCGCTTGAACATCATTTATTATTTATTTTTAGCTGTACAACATCCCTAGTCAGCATTTATTATTTCCAGTGGCGGCACACCCAAATGCACCACGTGGACGGACATTTAGCATCCATGCTAGGTGGCATACACTGTGTAAACATAATTTATGAATATCATAGTGGACGTCGTATGCGTATACACCACGCAAAATGAATGTTTATTATTTTCAGTGGGCGACACACAGATTTGAAGAACCCAGACGGTATTTATCATTTTCGGTTGTCCACTATTTGGCTTTTCTCACTTCCTTATTAATCGTGGACTCTCTTTCCTTCCAGAATTTTAAGGAGAAACTTGGATCATCTCGTCGTCTGATATGGTCTAATCCTAGCATAAATCAGGAGATGGTTTTCTGGTTACCCTATATACCAGATTTATGAGTATCTCATGAGAAATTCGAGTTTCTCATTGTTTAATTCAATATATCAAAGATAGTATATGAGAGTGTTTCTCCTCTAGTATAAATTGAGGTGCCCAGGGGAGAAGCTGTGTACAAGGAAGTCTTTCTATAATTCTACCTTCGGTGCCTTGCGCCTCCTACAGCCCCACCGTGGGACTTCCACACATAGACAGAAACACATCCCCCATCACCGCGCCGCCGACGTCGACGGCGGTGCCACGCTGCTGCCTCCTGCATATTACCCAAAGGGTACGATATTTCTCTTTATCTTTACTATATCCTCCTTTTCTCCGATCTACTCATCGACTGTTCCCTTCTTTCTTACCACAGGAAAGAAATTGTGCCCCCCTGAAATTTGCTTGCCTTAAATGACGGAATAAGCGACGAATCTTGACTACTTCTGGTTATTTGCTTGTAAGTTAATCAAACCAAACCTTCCCCTGAGTGAATCTTGGTATTTGGAAGGACAAGAATAGATGCAGATAGGGTAGATTTGCCTTGGGCGTGTTTGAAGTTTCTAGTGAAGTGATGAAGTTTTTATTGGATTGATGCACTTACTGCTAAGATTCTAGTAGCGTGGGATTTATTAGTAGTGCGTGATTTTATTTTATTTTTTTTTTATTTTTTGCAGCGCGTCAGGTGAATACACATATTTAGCAATCTAGTCTCTAGCAGCCTATGGATACACACAGGCCAAGATGGCATGAAGACAAGATACTGAATTAACTGACAAATTGAGAGATTCACCACAAGCCCTTGTGCTTATTTCTTATAAGCAATCTAGTTGTTTGGTTGAGAAGCAAACTATGGTTCAATGGTGTTGCATCCATTATGAGCTAACCAGACCATGATGCATGCATCAGCAAATTAACAAAAGAAAACATAACTGAATAATAAACAAGGCACCCACATGATAACTTGAACTATACATGTAAGAATTGATTGAAATCAAATAGCTAATAGTATTGTGGGTTTTTGCAAGGACCTGGTGGTGGTTGGTGGTTCTATTACACCGTAACTACTCTCTTGCTGCTTCTGTACCCAAAAATCTTGAGTCTGTTTCTTTTTCTGTTCTCCTTCTAATATAAAATGGCAGAGCTCCTGCCACTCCTTCAAGAAAACAAAAACTAGTCCTGATTCGAAATAAACTTTGCTAGTAAATTCAACGTGGTTCTGTATTATGTGAAGTGTTCATGTTGTTTTCATCAGTGCAAAATAGCCGTCCCGTTAAGTTTCATAAAGAGTAATTATAATTTAGTCATATTGTTGTAAACCATATTGTCACGAAAGGGCATGTACCCTAGCGGTTATAAGACTTAAGTAGCACCTCTAGGTCCTGGGTTCGACTCCCCACGCTAGCAAATTGAAGGCCTAGTTAAAAGAGCTCACTTTGGTCCCTCGTAAAAACATAGGTTATGGACCGATCTATAGGGGACGAGTCCGCATGTGGGGAGCCAGGGTTCATGGCTTTTCTTGGCTAGTTTGGTTGAGGCTTTTTCTTGTTAATGAAAACCTGTGGGGGTGTCCCCCACCGGTCGAGTTTTTTTTTTATTACCAATATTGTCTCGATTTTCATAACTTTTGTCTGGTACTTTTCACAAGGAACAGGCCAAAATTTATGTGGAATGTGTTGTTACTTATGCATGTGCAGAGTTGCAGATCTATTTCCATTGTTTACGACAAATTGACTTGTTGGTTTGGTTTATTAAACTATCGCACCTTATCTAATTAGGTTCTTCTGAAACTGTGACTAATGGCATAATGATATGTCAGTGAAACCCCACCGTACAGACTTCATTAAGTGGATGGTCCATCAGCTCCTTACTTATTTGGGAAACTGACGGCTCCGTTAAGGAAGGATCCAGTTTTTGCTTGGGGCAATTTATTTGATACTCACTTGGCACAATTCATGTGGCAAGTACGAATGAACTGTTAGTTGGCACCTGACTAATGTTGGATGGTTAGAGGTCTCAAATAAATAATGGCGGAACTTGAAAACAATTCTCATTGTTTATAGAGCAACATCGCCTGGTTAATTCGTTTTTTCGCATCTTATGAATGCCGTTTGTTAGGTGTAATAGACATATGATGGATTTGAATTATGTCACAACAAGCTATTAGTTTAGGATAAACTAGTAACATGAATCTGTCTAGATGAGAAAAGGTGCTTTGTAGTTTTATTCATTTCTGAAATAAATCATAGGAATTTTGAGTTATTGATACTTTTTTGCCTTGTCAGATAAGTAAATCTTTACTTTTGGGTTTCAACTTCACAAGATAGATGGACGCTGATTCCGGTGATTTTGGAAGTGGTAATAAGCTACCAGATGATCTGACCTTGGATGTCCTCTCTCGTCTTCCATACAAGTCGTTCTGCCGGGCTAAATGTACCTGCACAGGGTGGCTTTCTTTCTCCTCTAATCCACATTACTGCGACAAGCTTCCCAAACCCCTTACTGGTTTTCTCTACCAAAAAAGTGATAGCTCTGCCATTGAGGTTGCTAGCCTCTGCCCAGATGATAGATCATTTGATACTTCTCTTAGTTTCTTGCCACGTTATGAGTGGCTAGAACTAACGGATTCTTGCAATGGACTGGTTCTATGCAAATATGGGCGCAATACTTCTTCTCCATCCGTTGCGAACTTTGTGGTGTGCAACCCAGCAACACGTCAGTGGATGGAGTTACCTGAAACTCTTCTGGAACCAGAAGGTCACAGTTATGCAACCAAATTAGCTTTCGATCCATCATGGTCCCCGTACTTCTATGTCTTCAACTTTGAAGAGAAACGTAACCCAGTGGAAAGATGGGCTTGTATATCTAAAGTTGCGATATTTTCATCAAGAAATTCCACGTGGTTTATGGATGATAAGTGGGAACCTTCGAATCAGATTAGTGTCGATTGTCAGCCACACGTCCTTCTTGGTGGAAAGCTGTTTCTTCAGACATCAAGTTGTCGAGTCTTGGTAATCGATGCATTTCACAATACAGAGCAGCCATCTCATTGGATATTTGATCTACCAGGGTATAAGCCCACCTCCCCCATGGTTGATTGTCTCACTGGGTATCTTGGACATAAATCAGGGGTGCTACACTATGTGCAGCCCGACACCGGTGGTCGCACGCTTCTAGTCTGGGCTCGAGATGGCTATCCTCACGGTGACTGGAATTTGAAGCACCGTCTCAGCATGAGCGATGCATTTGGGCAGGATATCTTTCTTGATGAGCATTTTGATGGATTCTTGTCTTGTCATTACGACATTCAATCTCTTGACTTGGAGAGAGGGCTTGTTTTCCTTTGTCATTTCGCAGCAGAAAGACTCCTGTCCTATAGCTTGAGCACAGGGAAGCTGACGAAAATCCGAGATGGTCTCAGGCGATACCTGTACTATGTGCCGAACTGCTCAATGTTCCCAGCCAAAGAAACCGAGAAAGATCAAGATGTATCAGAGCCATAATTACCATCCCTTATTTGATGGAGCCCCGAACACCCTTATGTAGTAGTTTGCAATAATACTACATAATTTTGTTGGTGAAGTTTTATATGTAATCTCATATATGGTATATGATAGTAGAACTATGTGTGTGAAAGTCGTCTGTTGTGGACAGATGCTAGCCTTGTTGGTTTCAGCGTTTCATGATGTAATAAAAGTACCTCCTGTTCTAAGTGCTCCATGTTATTTTTGTCTCGTTAAAATTTTTCATCTGTTGTATTTGATACATTTTTCCAGGTAGGGTGAAATAAACAGCTGAAAGTACTAGAGATGATCAAAATAGTATTAAGTACCGTCACCGTGTAAATAAAACCAGATATCCTTCTCCAATAAAAGAGAAACTGGGCAACTGGATATCCTCTAATTGATTTAGTTGTTTTTTTGATATTCTATTTCGTTGGATTGCTACAATCAGTATACGCTGGCCGCGTTCCTCAATATCTACGCTTTGCCTATGTACTTCTGGAGTTTTCTATAAAAATAAGAACGAGAGATCCCCGCAAAAAAAAAAAGAACGAGAGATGATTTTTGAATGGATGAGATTAAAAAAATAGGTGATGTTGCTACTCCCTCTACACCGATAATAATTTAAAAAACAACTTTGACCACTACTTTTTATTACAATACATATAAAAATATTAATAAATATATAGTTTTATTGAAGTACTTTTTAATACCAATCTATTCATATGGTTACCATATTTCTAAAACATATTTTAGATGTTATTTTCAACCACTGGTAGAGTAGTTTATTTTTCTTCACCTTGTTCTTTGCAAGAACAAATCGGTTTCACTTCAATTTACCGCCTTATCTGTATTGCATACTCCACAATCCTCTGGCTGCTAGAGAAAAATTCTGAGTTTAAGAAAATTAACAAACAGAAGCTGGAATAGCTCAGTTGGTTAGAGCGTGTGGCTGTTAACCACAAGGTCGGAGGTTCAAGCCCTCCTTCTAGCGATTTTTTTAAGTTAATTTTGTTTTTTTTTCACAACTCAATCAAGTAAGCAATTCTCACCATAATTTACATCTCTACAATGTGCAATTCTCACCATAATGTTTTTTTTTCACAACTCAATCAAGCAAGCAATTCTCACCATAATTTACATCTCTACAATCCGCAATTCTCACCATAATTTACATCTCTACAATCCAATCAAAATTTTCAAGTTAATTTTGTTTTTTAAGTTAATTTTGTTTTTTTTTCACAACTCAATCAAGCAAGCAATTCTCACCATAATTTACATCTCTACAATCCAATCAAAATTTTTAAGTTATGTTTTTTTGTTTACAACTCAATCAAGCAATTCTCACCATAATTTACATCTCTTGTTCACAACTCAATCAAGCAAGCAATTCTCACCATAATTTACATCTCTACAATCCAATCAAAATTTTCAAGTTTTGTTTTTTTGTTTACAACACAATCAAGCAATTCTCACCATAATTTACATCTCTACAAGTTCAAGCCCTCCTTCTAGCGAATTTTTGAAGTTAATTTTGTTTTTTTTTGTTCACAACTCAATCAAGCAAGCAATTCTCACCATAATTTACATCTCTACAATCCAATCAACCAACTTCACAAATCGTTTTTTTGTTTATGACTCAATCAAGCAATTCTTACCCTTTTCACAACCAAATGAGCCAAATGAGCCATCCAATTTCAATTCTTTTCTCGTATGCAACAACCCAATCAACCATCCAAGTTCACCATGATTTTCATGTTACAACCCAATCAACTAATTTCACCATTGCAACGTTCGTGTTCAAGCCAATCAGAAAACTTTGCAACCTAATCACACTACAGCAGAAACAGCCTGTAGAGACGGGTTTTATATGCGGTATAGACGGCTATACCTGTCTCTAGTAGAGGTAGAGACGGTTTTAGTACCCGTCTTAGAGGCGTTGCCATAGCTCCTGTGTCAAACGATTAGAGACGGTTTAAATAGCCATGTGTATATCTAGATACGGTTGGAACCGTCGCTAAACATATAACTCGAAATTCAAATCAAATTTGTAGACACGTGGAAAACCGTCTCTAATTTAAATTATGACCGTGTCAAATTTGAAATACAAAATTTTGGATTGATCATGTAGAGACACTTGATGATCTTAGCCACGGTTGTTTCTGTGCCTAGCTTATACTACATTTCCTCTATAAACGGTCACAACCGTCTCTATTCATAATGAATTTATTACTTATTTCTTTCCTAGAGACAATTTCTGCTTTCTATAGACACGGTTGTGCCCATATCTACACTTTATGAAATTGACATATTATTTATAGCCCCGCTATTGGTCACACACCAACAATCAATACACCTTTCATTTAGAAAACCCATAAACAAAACAATACCAACAGATTGAATTACCATCAGACCACATTAACAAGACTTTTAGCGCCAGTAGCTTGTCATTAAAACAAAAGCAATATCTATACATTGTTCACAACGAAAATACTTCCAACATATTTTCTGATATAACAATGAAACAATAGGTTCAAACAAATTAACTCAAAAAATAATTATATTCTAATGCAGCAAGTAGTACGGAATGGTACAACTAACATTGTAAATCACTCTTCTTCACTGCAAGACTGAGATGATGCTCTAGCACTAGAGGATGGAGTAGTATTTGGTAGCTGATTTCCATGGTTCTGATCAAATGGAAGAGAGGATGTAGCAGTATTTGGTGGCTGACTTCCTTGGTTCTGATCAACCTGAAGATACATGCATGAATTTGTTATTCTGGAAGCTTATGGCTATATAAGTTACAACATTTAAAAATAGTAATCTTGTGGTCATACCTCTTGTCTTGGAATGACCCTAGCAAGTGATGGTGGCAACCTAGAAATCAAATTATCCTCTGGATATTTCTCAGCCAAATATGATACTATAAAACTAATGAAACCATTTACATTACTGGAGCTACTCCCTTCACTGCTTCCTGATATATTCGAAAATCTTCCACCATAATAGTTTGTTGGAGTAATGGTTGGACCCATGCCTCTAACTCTACCACTATGATCCTTTCCAAACACTTCTAATATATTTTGTTCAAAATCAGCTTCACTGAGTTCTTGGCCATCCACTCTTTTCTGAGCCAATTTCATATATACTTCATTCTACGTTGGAAAAAAATTGTAAACTCTTAATGTAGTGTATTTTGTTTTACAAAGAGTTTATTAAAAAAAAGCAGTATGGCATACCATTTTTTCTTCAGTAGCATCGTTAACATATCTGCCATCTTTCGTCTTATGGCATTCATCAAAGAAGGTTGCTCGGTCCACCTCCACTCCATTAACTTCCTACAGATTATACATCTCTAGTGCATGAGGAAATTGAAGCAATAGTGAATTAATATATGAAAATTGCTTAAAATCTTACTAGCTCTTTCCTCTTTCTTGCAAAACTCTTTCTTCCTAATGTGTGTGGATGCTTAATATTTTGTGCATTCTCTTTGTTTTTGTCACTGATTTTCTAATGATACAACATATAGCATTAATGAGCTGATATAAATCAAAATGATGGTCATTCAGTCACTAAAAAGTCCCAATATATATTTACCTTAGAGTCCTCTGAGTACCAGTAAGAGACTAGGGTGGCCCATTGAGATTCAGCAACAGTTTTGGGCATGGTTTGCAATACTCGTTCCATAGATAAGTTAGGCTTGTAATAGCCCTTTTTAAGTTTTGACTTGTACTGCCTCCATTTGCCATCTAACTGGTGGAGATTCCAATTATTAGCTCTTCCATCAATTGCAAACTTTCTCTAGTGCATATGAAAAAAAAAAGTGAATGGAATTATATTGGAATCACCATAAGAATATGATTTAAAAAGCTGTGAAAATTAAAGAGCAATACCTCTACTTCAGAAATCATTTTTGGATGATATACTCTCTTATAAAGTTTATGATTCCATTGAAGAATGTTTAGTGGAGCTAGATGTGGCTTCCTGACAAGTGTTCCTAAATAGGATCCAAGAACTATAGCAGACTGGGAGCAAGGTATGTTGAAACGATCCAGTTTGACAATAATCTTAACACCCTCTGGAAGATTTTCAACATTTGCCAATTTAATTGGTCCTCGACGTCTTTTAATGCGGCCATCAGGATCTGTAAAATTTTAAAAGTTATTCTGTAAGCAAAAGTTTTGAAGCGAATAAACAAATACATCTTACGATACTCATAGCAATTTGTGCGCCAATCTGCGTTTGTTATGTTCTGTTCTTCAACATAATGATCATTTGGGACTAGTTCTTGATCTTGTACACCATTCTCCAAAAGCTCCAAGTCTTGTAATCTTTGGGACCTTGTTGCCATTTACACTATATTTAAAAAAATGGATTAGAATGTTATTAATAACAAAACCGTTGCATATCAGTTAAAATGCCAAAATGAGAACATACAAATCTTCATATATCAAGTTGATAAGTGGAAAATTTACCCTTCATAACAAATTCTCATCTTTGTTTTTTTTTCTTCTTTGTTAAGTCATATCCTTTTTATGGTTTAGTGCAAATCCTCCTATAAATATGAACAGGAACTCACAATCTGTGTCTATGAATAACTTTAGCCAACCAAAATATCTATGAATAGTTTTGCCTAAGTCTTTACTACTTAAAGAAAACAACTTCGATCACAAAAGCATATGCAGTATACAATTTCCAGATAATAGTCACACGAGCAGTGGTAAATCACCTCGATAGTAGTTGACTGGGATCGAATTGCCCAAATCCACAAAAGCAAAGACCTGTACACATACGAAATGAGAGATGTTGAAATACACCGCCATCTCTGTAAAATGAAATGATCATTTACGTAGAATGTGATTAACGGCAAGGTTACGTTACTAATTAAATTAGATCTACATGATTAGTGCCCAGGTTAACGAGAATTTGTTTGGCAACCAAATTTTGGGTGCTAGCATACCGATGCATCAATGCCGTTCACATCTAAATTGATCAAAACTTGATTTACAATAATTAAAAAACAGTGCGTCAACCTCTTTCTGGACTTGCTTGTGTAGAACAATCATCAAACAATTGTTGTGCACACTGTGCAGCCATTAAAAAACAAAGTGGTAGCCGATTAAACAACAAAGTGGTAGCCTCGCCTGCTTGCTACTAACAAATCAAACAAGTGATGATGCCAGCGGCTGCAGCTTGCGAAGCGGTAATTACCTTGGACAGCTTCAGCAGGATACGATCTGGACGATCGCTGCCGGGACGCACGCCTGACGGCTGTAGGGACGTCCGCGATGGAGGTGGAGCAAATGTGATCTGGGCAACCAGTGGGACGCGCTGGGCAACGGCTGCACGAATATGCACGCCAGTGCTGGCGGTAGGATGCACGTGCCGGACCGACGCTGGGGCGCGGCAACGCTACAGGCGCACGGCAGGCTGGAGCCCTACCGGGGGCGGTGGCTGGGCGGCGTTCCTAGGAATTGGGTATTGAAAGATTGAAAGAAGTGGATAATAGATTGGTTTTGTACCTCAGTTGGATTGTAATCACCTCCGACTTTTCGAGTGAACGAAAAAAATCCCGCAAACTTCATCATCAGAAAACACGCGTAGATAAAAAAATTTAGCGAACGGGCGCCAAAAACAAATCTTTTCGCACGCGTTTGACACGGATTTTTAACACCCGTCATAAGGATCGTGTCAACGGATTTTAACCCCCGTCCTATCAAATTTTCATCAAACAGATAATTTAACTATAGAGACGCTTCGTTCATCTGTCTCTTCTATCTGTATCTAGTAATAGGGTGGGATGGGAGGTGGGCTTTGGCAAAGACGGTTTCCCAAGCCATTGCTTTGAAAACGTCTCTAGAGGCTGTTTCTGTTGTAGTGTCAACCACTCCAATTGCGCGCTGTACCATCGACGTGCGCTGATCCTTGTTGTCCCGGGCATACAGGTTGGAGTGATGAACGGCCTGGCCAGTTGATTGGGCCATCCTTGCCTCGCCGTCCAACCGTGCTTTCTCCGGCTCGCCCTTGTTGGGGCGGCTGGACGCGCACTCGCGCGGTCAGTTATATAAAGTTTATATATGTACAGGTACATATACAAAATGTATAAAAAAAAGAGAGAAAAAACCAGGGAAAAACCAGAAAAAAAACAAAAAGAAAGGAAAATGTAAAAGGTAACAGGCGTGCGCGGATCTGTAGCCCCCTCTCCGTGCACGCCACGTGGCTTCGCCACGCGTGGGGGAGGCGCGCACCCATGCGCTGATTAGCAGATTCGGCCCTTGTCGGCTATTCCGTCACCCCGCAACAAGATTACCAGCCGTACTATTTATTGGGCCTCTGACAATCGCCTAGCCTTCTACAAAATGGTGCACCCGTGATACTTTCCCAAAACTTGTTTGTCTCATAATTGGGACTTTTGTTGATATTTCTTAACGACATTATTAGGAACATAATTCCTAGCAATGATGCATGAAATATTTCTCGGTATTCTTTATGGTTACAGATATAATCCTCAAGCGAACGGATATACCGTTGTAGTATTTTACCCGGAAGTATTCCAAGGTATCGTAATTATTTAATCCCAAGAGAATATATAATAAGATAGTACTATGCTAATATTTTATATCCATTGTATAATCAAAGTCTAATATAGGGGTTAATCAATGCAAGAGTAGAATAGGTTGACACACAATATTCTAAGCTATGTGGAGAAATAATAAGAAAAGAATAATTTTTGTACTTCAAGTATATAGTAATTTTAGTCTACACTTGATATTGTACAGTTATGCAGCCAAAACCCGATAACTATGCCGAGCTGGTATATCAAGAAACCACCCCTGATTGCCGAATTCCTTACGATAACCCATCATGGTCAACCAACCGGTAATAGATATGGAGGAGTACCCACACCAGGAAATTCTTTTACTCATATATATGCACGTGGAGGAATACCCGTACTGAGCAGTCACCATCAGCGGCCTACCTCTGAAGACCCGTAGCATATAACACTATTTAATGATATCTAATAATTTGAGCACCGCGCTTACATCACTAAATACAACTCTACATCTCTGCATATGACAAAGAGCATAGATGAACATTAAACCAATACCATTGCATATCTCCGGTAAGCTAGCTACATAATCATTACAAGCTAAGTATGAACTAAAGTTGGTACTCAAATAATTATATAAATAAAGTAAAGGACCAAAACTATATAAAGAATAATATTTCATTTATGAATTAAGTCTTACAAGAGAGAGAAGAGCTACTAGAGTCATACCTAAAATCTCCGGAAGACTTGATGAACCAAGAAACATTCAGTTAAGGAAATTAATCAAATAAAGGAAACTTATCTAGAAGTGACCGAGTTCAAGGAGGATGCGGCATGGCAAGTTATCTATTAATTAGGAATAGTTTGTTAGTTTCCTTTTATATTTAGAAAAGTGTGTTTAGTGTCCTATAAGGACTTTATGTTTTCCTTTTATCTTTTGAAAAGTTTCTTTCTTGTTCTACAAGGACTAGTATCTCCCAATGGGTATAAATATGTACACCCGGGGTCATTATAAACTATCTCGCGATCAATACTACTTTCGGCGCATTGTCACCCTCTTTCCTGAGGTTTTTACTTACCATCCGACGGAATTTGGCACCTGACGCAGGGCTGCATCAGTTCAGTTCGATCTCCGGCAAAGGGGTAAGTCCTACGTTCCGCCGGCCCTGGTGAATCTATCGGCTACGTTGGTGTTGTTCAAGGCTGCATCACTTCGATCTCTTGGATCGCTCTGGTTCGATTAATATTTTTGCCTACCAATTTATCATATGTCTCTGTTAATCTAGTCTTAGTATATCGATTTAGCTCTATCGGCTGCTTCTCGCTTTAGGGTTTCTGCTGGTATCAGCTAAATCGTCTTGCTAGATTAGATTAGCTTAGGCATCAACCACCCTGAAAATCAGTCAATGGCTTGATTGTTTATATATTATATTTCTTTTCATACTTAGTGCTGCATCAGTTAAGTTTGATCTACTAAGTCTTGTTTAGAACCATAATCCCTAGCATACTTTTTGACTTCTAATAAGGGTTAAATCGAGGTTTCAGCCGATGAGTTATCTGGACGTTGCATCGGCTTACAAGGATTGCATACATATTGGATTTAGGCGATGGCGACAAAAATTTTACTGTTTAATCTAATTTTGTGGATTTTATGACATCGGACCTCCAGCCGATGTATTCTTTAACCTTCGGATCAATGCTTATTCTATCATATCATTGTTAGCCGATTGGTTTAATTCTACTGGATTATATTATTGTTATATTATATTATCATCAGCCGATTGCCTTTATATTGTTATTTACTTCAAGTGTCAGATTCTACGTCAGAATTATAGCCGATAGCTCAAAACCCTATCGCTATCGGGTGGTATCGGCATCGGCTGGAATCACTCCATCGGCTTGTTAGCCGATCGGCTCATTGATCTGCTATTTGTATATCTTGTCAGTTGCAGGATCAAACTGACTGGCACGCCCGCACCTCACCAAGATTTGGACCTGCACTAGAGCTAAGCAGATCTCCTAGGCCAGTGTGTGTTTTTCGCATCAACAAACGAATGTCAAAGCCTTCAAAAAATTAAGTTTGCAAGTTTTGTCAAAGCCTAAAAGCAGACTTAATTCTATCCAAGAAAGGTGGAATTCCTTACGGAAAAACCAAAAAGAAATGCCATCATCTACTTCTAGCAAGGTACACAAAAACTGCAAGGTAAGCAAGCGAGAACCTGGCTCATCTACCTGTGTAAATTTGTCTCATCCTATAGCTTACCACACATTGTGAAAATCAACATCCATACCTATTTTCTGAATAAGGTTCGGGTCATATGCTTGGGTATGAGCAAACGTCCGATCCTTGATCATGTGACAGACTTGCATCTCTCGGTCACCTATGTGGTCGAGATTGGAGTTGTCGAGGAGCCTCAGCGTAGCGTCCACCTCCTCCATGGATACACCAGTGGAGGAGTGTGTGCTCGACTCGTCTTGGTGATGGCTTGATCTTGAGCTTGATCCCTTCTTGAACAAGCCCAAAATTCTATTCTTCATAGCTGCAGAAAGAATGACCAATTGTACAAGACAAACTCGAGTGGGGGTTAAGCTAGTGAAACGAAATCAAGTCTACCCGCCGGTTAGTCTTGCACCAAACCAAAGAAACTTGTATATGCTAAAAATTGAAGCAAAATGCAGAGAACAAACTTGAGACCAATACTTCAAAGTTTGAAATAAACTTGAGAGCAAGAAAGCTTGTGAGAGGGAGTGGAAAATGTGTTGAAATGGGATGAACTCCCCTCTCCCGGCCATTCTCTACTTACAGAGAACTCATAACAGCTATAACTGCCATGTGGGACCCACTAGCCGTTGCTCCAAAAAGTGGCGCAGCCGGCTGTTGGCTACCTGCGTCGGCTGACCCATGGGTTCGGTTGAACCCAAGGTGGGTCGCACCGGCCCCCATCCTAGCCGTTGGAGGGGGGCCACGTGGAAATTGGTCAAAAAAAATTATTTTATTTTTGCTCAAAAATTCATTTTATAATTTTGTTGTGTCCAAAATTATTCCTAATTTAAATTTAAAAATTTTTCATGCAAAAATTTGAAAAAGGTAAATATGCTTTGATGCAGAAATTAAATTGACATAATCAAATATGGGATACATACCAATTTACCTGTTGGCAAGGGCGACGTCGTTTTGAGTCTGACGAGTAAGACTGTACCTCCGTCATGTTTAGCTTGATGATGAGGCACCCTGTCCTGGAGGCGTGGGAATGAGCGAAGTTTTCTTCACTCACCACACCTTCTTTGTTTTCGGCGACTTCTTGAAGCTAGGGTCAAAGGGTTTATAGCCTGTGTTCCTGGCTTGCTGATGTTGTCTTAGGATCTGGACGGGGCCTGGCTATCGCTTCTTTCTCCAAGAAATTCATTATGAAAGTGATGAGGATGTCCATCGTCGGGGGTTTAACTTCGACCTCCTTGATATTCTGCACGTTCGACCCGTACTTGATCTTGACCATGTGTTGACGGTCGATATAGACCAATTTTGACCATCAATATAACTAAAATAAGGGAGAATTAGCTATGCTTGCAATGCAAATATCTTTTAGAATAATCTATTTCCACTTGTAATTGGAGTATTATTTGATTGCAGAGATTGCTACACAAATGGAGGAGAATCGACAGGAAAAATAACGAACGATCAATCGAACCCTGTCGACTTATGGGTGAATGGGCTTACAAAACCAGAGAAATGACCTCAAAAGGCCCAAGACACCACGTCACTGAAGTGAGGAGCCAACAGGGAGACGGCCTGCCAAAATTTGGGCAGAATTAGTGTCACACCCTAAAAATCCAAAATATATAAATTGTTGTTTAATTGGAATTATTAGAATTTATTTTAAAAGCCTGGAAGAGAAGATCTAATTTTAATTAATAAATTCCAATATAAAATGGGGCCAGATAAAATTTCATTAAATACTTTGCTTAATTCTATAATTCCTAGATTTTTCTGGGATTTATTTGAGCTAAGGAAGTATTTTTAATAAATGGAATTGCATTTCATGAATAATTTAAATTGAAAAAGTTTTTTTAAAAGTCTCTTTTGGCTTTGGGCCGAAAGTCGGCCCAAAACCCTCTCTCTCTCCCCGGCCCAAGTCGGCCCAGTTCGCAGCCGCAGCCGCCCGCGCGAGCTCGCTGCCGCTGACAGGTGGGGCCCACCTGTCGGAGTCGTCGTCTTCCTCGCGTCGGCCGCCGCCCGAAACCCTAGCGCCGCGCCGCCGTCGTCTCCTTCCAAATTCGGTCGCGTCTTTCCCGATCCGGTGAAATCTTTTGAGGGGAAACAATCTTCGGGATCTCCTCTACCTTTTCTCTTTTGGAATCACCGGCTAAAATCGTTTGGAAATTCGTGGATTCGAGGTCGAATCGGATCGGTCTCTTTCCTCCAAACCCCGATGTTTCCTTCGCGTCGCCGGTCGCCGTGGGCCTTCGCCGCCGCCTCCTTGCCCCTATAAAAGGATCCCCGGTGTCTCCTCTACCCGCCGCCACCCTCGCCTTCGTCTCTCGCCGTCGGAAGCGCCCTAGCGCCGTGTAACCTCGAGCCGCCGTCGTCGCCGCCGCTCCAGCCGTGCGTCGCCGCCGTTCCGGTCGTCGTCGTCGCTCGGGGAGGTCGCCATCGTGGTCGCCAAGTCGTCGCCGTCCTCGTTCGCCTCTTCGCCGTCGCTGTAGACCGCCGGAACACCGCCGTCGTCGTCAAGCCGAAGGTCGCCGCCGCCCTTTCCTCGACGCCGTCGCCGTCCGTTGATCTTCCGCCGCCGTTTTGGTCACCGGTGAGTTCGCCGCGTCGCGCTCTACGTGCTGGTGCCCTCCGTTCGCGTCATCGCGCCGTCGTTCGCCGGCGAGCTTGCGCGCCCGAGCCGCCGAGCCGCCGCCGGAGATGACGTCACTGCTGACGTCATCAGGATCCGTCTGCCGTGAGCCGCCGTAGACCCGATCGATCTCGGCCGTTCGTTTTGGATAAGATCGATCTCGGCCGTCCGTTCCCGTGAACCGCTGCCGTGCGCCCGGTCCACCGTAAACCCTAGCCGCTGACGCAATAAACCTCTTTTCCTTTTCAAAAATAATTCAGTATTGCGTCATAATTCAATTAAAATCCATATAATTGTTTTAATCCGATTTAATCTTCAAAAATTCATAACTAATTCATCTTAGCTCGGATTTAGTTGGTTCAAGTCTCTAAATTTTTCTAAAATTGAGATCTACATGTTAAAAATATCCACATGTATTGTTCATGCTTGTTTATGTGCTATTTGGTGATTTTTCTCTTTTCTGTTTAGATTCCGACGTTTCCGGAGAGTCCGTTTTCGCAGGAGAAGAATTTGAAGAGTTCCAAGGCCAGCAAGGCAAGTCACACAGATCCCAAACAACCCTTTGAGCATGTTGATCCCGTTTAAAGCTACTGTTTCTATTCAACTATTGCATTTATTTTCGAATTTCATTGGGTGGAATTAACCTATTGTTTGTTATAGCCCTTTTTCTTCTTGATCACTTTATTCCTTGATACCTTGGGTTATTACAACTTGACTAGTTGGGCTATATATATATTGGTTCCACTAGATATTAGATATGATTGCTTAGCCATGCTTAGAAACATTAGCACACTATTGGGATAACTTAAGGTTCACTATTAATTAATGATGGCTCAATGATAGTTCACGATGGTCAATCGTGATTGGTTAATTAATTACTTGCCAACTAAAACCTGATAATGGTGGGTTGTGAGCACATGGTTTTGAAAGTCGTGCTCATGACAATTAAGGACCGGTTCACGAGTTTCGGTTGTGAAACATTAATCGTGCCAACCACAAGCCAGCGTGGGCAACGGCTTTACCTTTTGTATAGCATGGTTTATTGCGGAGTACCAGACTGAGAAGTGGCGGAGATAAGCCCACGGGGGTCGCTGGGGAGTCCATGCCTTGTTTATAAGGGGGTGATTATGATCCAGGAATGGTGCGCTGCGGTGGATTGTGTTATGCAAGGGGTATTGTCACAGCTCCTTTCCGAGGTACCGTGGTGGTATTGAGGCACATGGTGACATGATGTGGGGCTGTGTCTTGTGGGTAAAGTGGTACACCTCTGATCAGAGTAAAACTATTCGAATAGCCGTGCCCGCGGTTATGGGCGGGTCTAACAATGTCTTTCGTGATTAGTCTCACACCTCTCATCACAATAAAAGATGCTATAACTGGTAATAATTTGATTAGCTCCTGGTTTGGAATGGTATATTCCTGGTTTGGAGATAGAACTGTGCAGCCGGGATGGTTGTTCAGAATGGTTGGGCCTATACAACAGGGTATGTTGTATAGCGTTGGATTAATATTGTTTAATTATTACTTAACTGTTTTATTAAATTCTCAAATGTTTGCTAAATGCTGTTTTTGCAAATGAAACCCTACTATGCCATCCTTTGGTATCCTTGTGCACTTGCATATTTGCTGCGTGGCTTGCTGAGTATGTCATATACTCACCTTGCAATCATTCATCAGAGGAAGAGTTCTACAATGATGCTGATGGTGTGGAGGATTAGGTGTAGCCCTGCTCAAGCTGCCTGTGGAGTGGAGCCGTCTGCGCCGTTTATCTTATTTTCCGCTGCTTAGATCTTTATTGATTGAGAGGAACTATCTACCTCTGTAATGACATTTTATTCGCTTATTAATTAGGGTAATAATTGTACTCTATTATCAATTTGTTATTATGTGCCTCGGCTGATTCCTGGACGAGGGTTCACACACATGTAAGCGTTTGGAATTTTGGATAGAAATTCCGGGCGTGACAAGTTGGTATCAGAGCCTCCTTGACCCTAGGTTATGCCAAATGGTTACCCATAGAAGCCCTCTAAAAATATTGGAAAAGTAGAACTGTTCTCCTCCCCTTCTCTTTTTATTAAATCAAACTAATGGCACATGCATTTCATAATATTTTTTTAGTGGTTCTCATTCAAAATTTATTCCAGTGTTATTAGTACTGTACATCTATTACTGTACTAATGGCTCATTTACCAGCAAAAGTTTTACAATATTGTTTTATTTAATCTTGCTGCAATTAAATAAATTTAGCATGTTGATTTTATAACTTTCTTTTATTTCTTTTAGAACCTGTTGTTCAAAAGTACAAAATTTGTGACCTTGTTTCCAACTGTTTCAACTTATCCTGCAAGTTTGGTTTACTTTTTTCTTTGATTTTCTAACTTTATTCAAATTAATCCAAAAACTTGTGCTATTAATTGGATAAATGTCTTAACTCCCTCCTTTCACTTGTCTTTAGATGCCGCGCTACAAGCCTGAGTACTTGTTTGGTGTTGAGGGATTTGTCCAGGAGTTGCGTACAATGTCCTTTGCCATAGGATTTGGGACTGCCCCTTTTTATGCCCAGATTCCTCATGATCGTCACGAAGAGAAGTGCCGAGTCAAAGTCACCTTGAACAGTAATAGTGAAGATATCCCCTCAGTGATGTTCGAAGCTGGAGGAAGAAACTACATCCATGCATGTCAGGAGGTGGCAAG